TCTCATTGCATCCTGTTTTTACATTCCTTCTCATATACCTAGAGCAAGAGCTCTAAACTTAGCCTATGCACTGCTTCTTGAGACTATTGGTTTTTCAAGTAACAAGATTTCCTCAAACATAAGAACAATACCCGGATGTTAAGTGTCTATCATTTATTTCCTACGTAATTTGTATCTTAAAAACCTCGATACTTCTATTTTTGCTTCTTTTGACTAACAGACCTCTTCCTAGGTTTATTATAAGATAACCTTTAGATTCTATTTACCGCTTTTATGTGCTCTTCTGTTAGATTATTCATGAACTGACTCACAACACTAGCAGAAAACCCAATGTTCAAGTGCGTAAGAGATAAATGAGTCACTCTATGAGTTTTTAATTTCTTCCTCTATCCACAAGTTCACTGCCTTCTCCATTTCTTATCTTCTTGGTTGGACTGGTTGAAGTTTCTTCAGGTTTATAGCCAGGAATACCTGTCTCCTTTAGCAAATCCAGAATATATTTTTATTGAGAGACAGATATGCCTTTCTTAGATCATGCCACCTCCATGCCAACAAAATCTTTGAGATGTTCGAAGTCTTTGGTCTCAAAATCTTTGGCCGAAAGCTTCTTCAATCTCAAGATTTCCTCCTCAAATTCACCTATTAAGATAATATTATTAACATACAAAATTAAAACTGCTATCTCCTTTCCTAGAGGGAACTTCATGAACAGTGTATGATCTGTTTGGCAATGAGTGCATCTGTGACTGATCACAATTTTAGTAAATCATGCACAGGGAGATTGCTTGAAGCCATACAGTGATTTTTTAAGTCCTGGTGATGTGTGTGTGTATATATATATATATATATATATATACTTCTTCTAGATCACCATTTAAAAAATGTATTTTTGACACCTAATTGATTTAGTGGCCAATCTTGATTTGCAGCTAGAGAAAAGAGGACTCTAACAGTGTTGAGTTTGGCTATTGGAGTTAAAATTTCTTGGTTGTCAGTCCCATAAAACTGAGTAAAGTCTTTCACAACTAAGCAAGCTTTTAGCCCCTCTACCCTTCAGTCAGCCTTATGTTTTATGGTGAAGACCCACTTGCACCCAACTGGTTTCTTTCCAGGAAGGAGATATGAAATTACCCATATGTCATTCTTCCCCAGTGCTCTAAGCTCTTCATTTACATCATTTTCCTATTTTGGGACTCTTGAGGACCTCCTGAATGGAATTAGGAACCTACATGCTATTAAGAGCCGAAACAAACTTCTGATATGGTGGTAACAGCCCTTTATATGGGACAAATTTGCAGATATGATGATTTGTGCAAGTTCTAACACCTTTCCTTATGGCAATGGCATATCTAAGTCAGCAACAATGGATGCAACATTCTCATAATCAGATGGTCTGTGACCTGGGTGATTTGAGTAGGTATTGGATCTGGTTGCTTGGGTTTCTATCTCCTTCTCTAGCTTTCCTTCTAGTGATTGATTTGGGGCTGGAGTTGAGGAGTTATATTGATTTGGGGCTGAAGTGATTGCAGTGTGATCACCAAGAACAAGTTGCGATACAAATTGCTCATAACATGTGGAGTTGTTCCTGGTTGAGGTGGTTCATCAAGAATGTTCCAAAGATGATATTTCTCATGTTCTCTGCCTGAATATTAGATTTAGAGTAGTGGAATTGATGTTTCAAAAAATGTTATATCCATTAAAATGCATATTCTTTTTGTGATTGGAGAGTAGCATTTATAACCCTTTTGATTAAGGGAGTAGCCCAAAAAGATCCATTTGATGGATTTAAGGCCTAATTTGCTACGATATTGTTGGTGTATGTAAACAAAGACAGAACATCCAAATATTTTTAGGGTTTAGGGAAGAGGTAATTTTGCTATTTGCAAAGGTTTGAAGTAAAACTTGACATGGAGTTTGAAACTCAAGTATTTGGGAGGGCATTTTATTGATTAGATATGATATTATAAGGACAACCTCTCCCCATAAGCATTTTGGAACATGAGTGGAGAACATGTGAGATCTGGCTACCTCCAGAAGATGTTGGTTCTTCTTTTTAGCGTCCCCGTTTTGCTGAAAGGTGTCTCTACAAGAACTAATGTGTACAATGCCTTGACCCAAGAAATAATTACCCAAAGCAGTTTTGAATGGTATATCAATTTTTAGGGCTTGGATCTTGGTATGGAATTGAGTTTGCATCATGAAGTTGAAATTTCGAAAGCTTTGACTTGCCTCAATTTTTTCTTTCATGAGGAATATCCACATCAATCTAGTGTGATCATCTATAAATAATACAAGTCATCAAATTTCCATTATATTTTCACCCTTGAGGAACTTGAAGCATTATTGTGAATGATGAAAAATGGTTGAGATGGTTTGTATGAAAGACTAGGATACCTGTTGCAAGTGTGTTTGGAAAGTTGGTATATTTTGGAACAAAAGACTTTGGACTTTTACTATTGAATAAAGGAGGAATTAACTTTTCTATATACATAAAGTTTGGATAACCAAGACAACAGTGCCATAACATAATTTCATTGTCCTTACAAGAATTGGAATTTGACGAACAGTTTGCTTCTTGTGCAAGGTTTGTGAAAGGAATATCACCTTTTAGAAGATGAAGTCTTTTACATTTCTTAGTACTGTCAATCGTCTTTCACAAATCCATTTCCCGAAATCCACATAAGTTTGAGAAAAATTCAGTTATACATTTGAGATGTTGGGTTACCTTGCTAACTGAAACTAGGTTACAGTCTAAGTTCGAAACATAAAGAAAAGTGTTAAGACTAATGTCCTTTTTAACCAAAACAAAACCTATTCTCTCAACTTTTGTCTGAGATCATCGGCTATTTTGATTATATACTTTTATACATGATATGTACTTCTGCAAGAGTATCCTATCTTCCGTCATGTGACCTAAGGCTCCTGAGTGAATGATCCAAGGATGGGTAATTTTATTGATTGTGAGTGTTTGTAAAAAATTTACCTGTTTGGTCTAGCATGTCAGTTCCAGAATTAAACACACTCAGCTGAATTAGTAGATTTTGGCTGAAGGGTTCTCGTAGAGCTTCAATTTGTTCTTTAATGAAAGGACTTGAGTCTAATGACGTGGGGATTTCTTCATTAGTGACAGTGGCATGCACATGTCTGTCCTTGTTATTGCGTGCTCAAGAGGGCTTCCAATCATTAAGTTTTCCTTGAAGTTTCAAGCAATTTTCTTTGAGGTGTCCTGGCTTTTGACAATGGTGATACCATGGTCTTCCTTTTCTTGATGGTTTTCATTGCGATGGTGGGGGTAAGCAGTTACAAGGGCAGATCCTTCAAGACTTTGTGCAGCTGTTTGGGGTTCCGTCATCACTTTCTTTCTTCTCTCTTCGCGACTAACTTTTGGAAATGCCTCCCTGAGACACAAGAAATGTTTGGTTCCTGATCGCTCAAACTTCATCCAGGTCCTTGTTAAGGCTAAATAGAAACTTTGAATGTTTGCTTTTGCTCCACAATGATTTTATAGCTAGGGGCACCTTGAGGACACTTCCATGAGTAGATTTCAAATGCCATTGGCGGTTGAGGGTGTTGAAGTACTGCGTGACCGAGAAATCTTTTTGACATAAGTCATGCAGGATAGACTTGACCTGAAACAATTATGAAGTGTTTTCAGTACTCAAATAAGTCTCTCTGGCAACAGTTCCAAATCTCTTTTGCAGTTCCGCACAATAAAAAATTTTCTCCTATTTCATTCATCAATGAGTTAATAAGCCAAGATATTACCATATGGTTTTTGGTCTTCCATTGTCTGAATTTGGGATCGCTTTTTTGAGGAACAGTGATTTCTTCTGTGAAATACTCGTCCTTCCTTTTTCACAAATGAACATCGTCACGGATTGGGACCATTGAAGATAATTCTTTCCATTGAGTTTGTGACTGGTAAAAAGAAGGGAAGAAGAGACTCTCATTCCTCATAGCTACTCACAGCTGGTGTAGCCTCTGGTCTGGAGGTAACTTCAGAAGAGGAGATCTATTTTTCAATTCTCATGCCGTATTTGGTCATGGGATCAGATTACAGCTGGTGTAGCTTCTGGTCTGGAGGTAACTTTGGAAGAGGAGATCTGTTTTTCAATTCTCATGCCGTATTTGGTCATGGGATCAGATAGGGGTTACAGAGATGGTTCTCTGGTACCATGAAGAACAGTTGAAGAAACTGACAGAAAATTCTGGGCTTTCTTCTTATTATTATCGAATGAAGCTTGTGTAGAATATATAGTAAAAGATCTAGCTAATATAAGGTCCTAAGTTGATCTAATTGGCGAAAAATCCTTCACTGAAAAAGGAGAGATAAAATCCCAGATCTAGGGACATACTATTCCAGAAAATCTTAGATAGCAACAGTGGATTACCACAATCCCTAAATTATTAACTTGAATAAGGATTTTACGCTACTGATTTGAGCATGGGTCGTAACAAAGTTTGTAGTGTTTCTTTCTCTTTCTGCATGATGGTTTCGGAAAAAAGGTCTCAAGTATAGCTCAAGGAAAAAATAATAGGAAATTTTTTATTCTTTGGAGGATCGTGTTGGATTTTGGGGCAAGTGATACAAGTAACTCATACATATGCTAGAATTCAAGAGTGGAGAAAGAAGAATTCAGAAGAGACTTAAGAGAGAAGAAAATATGCTACCATGGCTGTTCACTTTAATATACTTCTCTCTGATTCTGGATAATCCCCAGCTAACCACCAAACAACTACCATAATCCGTTTCACTTTTGGCTTCCTAATAGACTTTTATGCATATAAGATGGCCTCTCCTTCCAATCACTTTGTCCTCAAAGTGAGGATCAATTTGGAAAAGAAAGCTACTCTATGGAAAAAGCAGTTGGGACTAATCCGCCTTGTAGTATTTTGAGTTATCTGGAAGGAAAGAAACAGGAGAGTCTTTGAGGTGTTGGAAAAGAGTATAGATAAAATTAGAGAGAGATGGTTTCAGATCCTTGGTATGTTGGTTATGGGTCAACCGATGCTTTCCATGGAAAATTTAGAGAAACTAATTGATGTACTTACAGAACTATAAATAATTTTGTATGTGGGTTGCACCTCCTTGGTGCCTATGCTTAATGATACATTTTATACTTGTTATTTTCAGAAAGAAAAAAAAAATTGTCCATAGCACTGCAGCTCCTTAAGTCCTGAGCTTTTACTACTAAGAGCTGGAATTAACTCAACTGAAGATTTTTTCCTTCTTTCTTTCTTTTTCTCTTGTAAAACCACTCAAGAAATGTACTTGGAGATCTTGAACATCAGTGTAGGTAATCATTTTATGCATAATCACACTGGCCATTCCTAACCCAAGAGTGGGGTTATGTTTCAAAGTAAGAGATTCCGCACCTTGTTACATTTGATATTTTTAATAGCAGCTTGCACTTTCCTATTGTAAAGAGTGAAGTTTTCAAGAAGTCCTTTTCCCCTCCAAAACTTCTTTATTATCGAAGAGAGCCAACAAAAGTTCACCATTCACAGCAGCAGCATGAACCAACTCATGAGTTGAGTGAGAACTCTTGATCTACGTTACTATTACAGGAGCTTGGTTGTTGAGTTCAAGGGAACTATTAATAGCTAAGAGCTTTTTGTCATTAAGACCTCAAATCAGACATTCATTTTAATTGCTAAATGACATACTACCATCATCACAAAACACACTTAAGTGTTGGCACCCTCTACATGGATCTTCAAGCATACCCTCAATAGTACTTTCAGATGACTCTTGCATTCTCTTGTTATATTCTTGCAAAATCCTCATATGAACTGTTATTTCAATCTGCTTCATATCTAATTCATAGAAAATCTGATACTTCATCTTTATACTCTAACTTCTGAATGAGATGCTGTTGAATGAGTGGTAATATTGCTTCTTCATCATCATCATCTTCTTCTTCTTCTTCGTCTTTTTTCTTCTTCTTCTTCTTCTTCTTCTTCTTCTTTGGATTTTGAGGAAATCTAGAAGGAACCTTTACATTGCTGAGTTTATTTTAGAAAGCTTCAACTCCATCAAACATAAGGTGTTTACATGTATAGTCATGCATCAAAGGTTCAACACCAACAAAATCTAAAAGTTTGTGGCTCTAACTTATCTCAGGTACTTGTGTCATTTGATGTAAAAAAGGGGAAACATATTTCTATCTTTTCTTTCATTGTGAAATAGCTTGAAAGATATGGACAAAACTGTTCAACATGTTTGATCTTAATTGGTTCCCCCCCATCCATCCATAAGTAGAGAGCTTTTTATTCTCATGCATTCAAATGGAGGGAAGTAAGCAAGGGAGAGAAGACCCTCTCGCGAGGGGCAATTTTTTTAGTATGCTTGCATGAAAGTTTAAGATTTCCAATGACCAGTATACCTCCTTCTATGAGTTATTAGAAAGAGTGGATCGTTTTTGGCAACTTTATGGGCCAAGAATTAGGACATTAATTTTAGCCCTAATTGACCACAATTTTCTATTTCAATAACTCTCTTGCTTGTCTGGCTTGTTTGTTTGACTCTTTAAGGAGGATGTTTCATTCTCCATTATTGTTTTTCCTTTCTTTTGCTCTATACTCAACAAATTTCTTCTTCTATCAAAATAAAAAGAAAGAATTCCAAAAGGAGATTTCCTTGTTACTACTAATATATCAAAGAAATCACAGGGAATAGAACAAGGAAGGGGAAAGGACAAGAAAGATGGAGATTAAGAACAAAGGAGAAGAAGAGTTTTCTTCTCTTTTGGGTCTTGAATAATTCTAGAAGGAGATTTCCTCGGATACCACTAATATATTGAATAAATCACGGGGAAGGAAACAAGGGGAAAGAAGGAGAAAGAGGGAGAAGAAAGGAGAAGAAGGTTCTTCTTCTTTGGGTTTCAAAGAATAGTCAAAGAAGATTTCCTCGGTTACTACTGATGTGTCAAAAAGATCATGAGCAACGGAACAAGGAAAGGGAATGAAGTAGAAAGAGGGAGATTACAAAGAAAGCAGAAGATTTCTTTAAAATTTTCCAAATTGTTTCTTGCAGAAGACTTATTGAGGCAGTTATGCTGGTCCAGGTAGATTAAGGATGACAACATGGTTGAT